TTTAGAGAGAGCAAAAAATCTGCTGAGAACTGGCATGCTTCCATGACCAACAGTTCAGCAGAGGTAATAGAGAGCAAATTACAGATCACGTTGTGCAGTAGCTGCCAAACGTTAAATTGTACCCGCTCCATTCAAAAACTGCTATTACTAGGAAACTGAAACAGGCTGCTTTCAGTGCCCGCCTACATGCCTTTGCATCAATGATTGCTCTGCACAACCTCGCATGCAATTTTATCTTGCAATTTTTGCAACTCTTGCAAGGTTGCTTTGAGTCATGAAAGGTGCTATATCAAATGCAGGAATTATTATTATTTTAATTTGTTGATATTATGCAAACGAGAGTCTCTTGCAACTTAGAAAAAGCAGCAGCTAAAAGCATGGCAATACTGTTAGGCCAATGCAAATTTAAAAAAAATTATTTCAGGCTAGGAAGAGGTTTCAAAGGACTTCACAGCAGTGAAGTGACTGTATATTTTGTAGGCATATATGAACTCAGATCAGTTTACTCGAGACAATCTGAATCATGTGAAACCATCTCCAAAGGAACTCAAGAGCTTAAGAGACTATTTTTACAGAGTTCAGCAGCAGGTAGCCTCAGACAAAAAAAAATATTTGCTAAAGTAGGAATAATTAAACACATATATTTATATAATTATATTTTATATAACTAATCCCCGACTGTTCAGCACCTCTGGACGTCCTCCCAACATGAAAGGCACTTTACAAATGTAATTTTGTTGTTGTTGTTTTATAGGCTACAGATTAAAGTGAATTAGGCCGAAGATTGACCAGTATAATTGGGAACCAAAATGTCCTTTTGCATTGCCCACCATCCATCCCTGTTAGAATGATCCATAGAGGGCAGTATATATGTAGTTTTGAAATGCATCATGTTTTGGTAGAGTACACAAAGCTAACAGGGTGCATATCTGAAGTGCACAACCACACCACAAAATAACAATGTGCCACTTTGACATGTTAACCAGCACCTAAATTACAATTTGAAAACTCAGTCCAGCTATAGAAATTCACTTGCAGGAATAATTCATGAGGTTTTCAAGCATCGGAAGTCTTATAAACAGAATTTGCAAGTAAATGTAAAGTTTGAAATTAAGCCCATCAAAGGCTTGCCATGCAGATCCGACTGAAACCTCTTGAGGCTGGGGCCAAATATACCAGAAGTTCAAGTTTGGAACCAGCAAAGTGATTCTGAAGTGCCTTTCGGTATTACAAATTCAGCAGTTATTTTATTAGACCAATTTAGTGGAAAGTAAAAAGCACGCACAAGAAGAATGTATGCCAAGAAAGTATCGAGGCTCTCTCTTGATTGGCATGAATTAATTGACTTGTCTATCACAAGAAAATATGACCAAATCCTTATCTATTCGTATTGGACTTGGATCAGCTTCATTCTGTTCAATCATGCAGATCCTCACTACAACTTGCTTTTATATAGCAATTTTCACTCAGCGTCTCGGAGCGTTCGACAATGTGAGTGTTGGACACTGAGTAAGGGAGAAGAGGGAGGAGGAGATGAACATAGGTGGACTTAAGAAACAGGAATGCTAGGAACTGGAAGAGGAACTGCTTGAAACTAACTTGATGTTTCACCTAAACTGTATAATAATAATAATATTCCTTGCATTTGATATAGCGCTTTTCACGTCTTCTAGATGTCTCAAAGGGCTTCACAGAATATACTGTAAAGTGAACTGACTGTATATTTGTGGGCGAAACTCGGCAGCCAATTGCGCACAGCAATGTCCCACAAATAGTCATGAATTGAAGTGACTAACTTATTATTGGGGTTTTTTCTTGAGGGATTATTATCAGGCGTGTGGAGTAAGGAAACTTTCCCAAGGTTTCACCCTGCCGGGAACCGACCCCAGGTCTCTCGCTTGTGTGGCGAGTACTCTAACCACTGAGCTACAGGACTCCACTTAATCAACTGTATCACTGAACAAACGTAAACAAAAAAAATCTAGAAACAATATTCTTTAAGTTTGCACAAAAATAATGCAAATTCCTGTGGGAGAATTCCCACCTGGGTCTAGTTTTATTCTATTTACGTAGCATTTTATACCGTTCCAGAATTTGGAAAAATGATGAATTCACTCTTACCTTTGCGGCTGTTTTCCTCTTACTTTAAAAAGGAGCACAGATTAACCCAGGTTAAAAATTGCCAGATTCTGGATGCCTTGAAATGCTAAAAAATAGAGTAAATCTAGACTAAGATGGAATTTCTCTCTTGTGTTTCAGAGAAAGTAAACCTCAGCATTGCTTCAGTGGCACCAGATTAAATTGACTGGGTTCTGAGAGGTTCCTAGTAAAGGTAGAAAATATTTACACTTTGGCCTACGTGTATGATGTTATTATCACCTATAAAATACAGTCACTGCACTTTACAATATATCCTATGAAATGCTACGAGGCTTCCTCCCAATGTGAAAGGTGTCATATCAAATATAAGTATTATTATTATTAAGCATATAATGGTCTGAAATTCCACTTGCGAAGGTAAGAGTGAATTCACCATTTTTCCAAATTCTGGAACTGTATAAAATGCTACGTAATTAGAATAAATCTAGAAATTTAACGCACAATTGTCAAATTCTGAAATGCTACAGGAATAAGAGCCAATCTCGATCAAAGTGGAATTTCTCCCCCCCAATAATTTGTTCAATTACAGCAGTTTGGACCAATGGTCAGCCATTCTGAGGAGGTAATTCCAACCACTTTCGAGCACATAAGTCATATTGACCAGTGAGGAGTGTGTCTGTCAATCATTGTCAAATAAACTTGGGCTAAGCTGTAGCTCCTTACGTAAAATGCTTTATGCAAAACACAATGTTCAAGTCACAAAATCTCCAAGAGGATGGCAGTCCACAAAGTATCAACTGTTAAATGAGTTTTAATTTATTTACTGGCTGTCCACAGCAATGTTCATTTTCTTTCCAAACTTCTCTGCTGCATTGCTGGAACGCTGCAGAATGTGTGGAGAGTGCTGGCAATCATTTTTGAAACTTTTGCATTGTTATAATAATAATCCTTGCATTTGATATAGCGCTTTTCACGTCGGGAGGATAATAATAATAATCCTTGCATTTGATATAGCGCTTTTCACGTCAGGAGGATGTCCCAAAGCGCTTCACAGAATATACTGTAAAGTGAATTGACTGTATATTTGTGGGCGAATGCGGCAGCCAATTGCGCACAGCAATGTCCCACAAACAGTCGTGGATTGAAAATGACCAATTTATTATTGTTTTGGGTTTTGGAGGGATTATTATTAGGCTCTGTGTGGAGTAAGGAAACTTGCCCAAGGTTTCGCCCTCTGCCTGGAATTGAACTCAGGTCTCTCACTTGCAAAGCGAGTGCTCTAACCACTGAGCTACAGGACTCCACGGATTCTTCTGGATTTAGTTAAAGTAGTTGGCAGTATAATTACATGAATGCCTCAGCTGTATCCTATTTAATTCCTTCCCATTTCTACTGACGAGCAGTGCAAGGGGTCAGTAAATGGTGAAATCCATGGATCACCCGAGTCCTTGCCAGACTGCACTGGCTGCCTGTCCCAGAGAGGATCGACTTCAAGATCCTCACCCTTGTATTCATATCCCTCCACTCCTCAGCACCCCCTACCTCTCTGACCTCCTCTCTCCTCAAAACAGTACCCGTTGCCTTTGTTCCTCCGGGTCTGGCCTCCTCCTCGTCCCCCGAGTCCTCTGCTCCACCCTCGGCGGCTGTGCCTTCAGCCACTAGGCCCCGAGACTATGGAATTCCCTTCCTCACTCCCTTCGCCTCGCTCCCTCTCTTCCTATTTTCAGGTCTCTGCTGAAGAACTTTCTCTTCGACCACGCCTTTGGTCACCTTCCTCCCCCTCTCCCTGGCTCGGCCCCGGGATCCGTTACTGTGAAGCGCTCTGAGACGTCGTCCTGCGTGGAGGGCGCTATATAAATCCAAGTTGTTGTTGTTGTTCAAACATTGATTCACATTTTGAATCAAAAGGGACTAGTTTGGGAGAACAAGTGGGCAGTAATTCCACCCAGATCTAGATTTACTCCATTTTAGAGCATCCAGAAATTGGCAAACTGACAAATTCAGCTATAAATTTTAAATCCTTTTTTCTGTCATTCTTAAAATAATTTCTAGACGTTGGTTTCAAAAGTAATATCAGAGAGTCTGAAATGCTATGTAAATAAGAGTAAATCTAGACCTGAGTGGAATTACTCCCCAAAAGAGAGATGAGAGCAAGGTTCTATCCAATACACAATATATATTATTTATTATATATCTTCTCATCTCCACAATGTTTTAAAATAGTGTTTTAAATACTAATAATCCTTGCATTTGGTATTGTGCCTTTCAGGTCGGGAGGATATCTCAGAATGTTTCACAAGATTTTACTGTAAAGTGTAATGACTGTATAATTTAACGCTTTGACTGGACTTAGTTGCAGTTCCACCAGTCAGCATGTTGTACCAAGTAATGATTATTCATAACATAAGCGGGTGGTGGGTCGTAGGCTATTCAACAGTGGGGGGAGGCACAGGAAGGCACCACAGCTGATCCTGACCTCATTCAATATTCATATACTTGCAACTTCTGGCTGGGGATTCTAGATAGACACGAGGAGCGAGAGAGACACATAAATAGAAAGGTAAAGTAAAACCCTGAACATGATGTGGGGGGGGCGGAGGGCAAACATTCTCAATGGTTGGTTTACCTTATGCCTAAAAGATAAGGTTTTCTTTTTGAACTATATATTTCATCAGCTCAGCAGACTATCGGGATCCTCATTAGACCCTTTGGAAGAACAGCTAACAAAGTTGATGGGGGAGGAAACTAATAACAGAGGGTCTCATTCCCAAGCAGCACAAGTTCTATTCTTAGGGACTGATGTCACAATTCTTGAGAATGAAACCAGCTTTGGTCTTCCTCTTATTAGGATGAAATAACAGGTACAAGATAAAAGCAGTGCATGTTAACTGAGCACCTACCTATGAAATAAGACAGTAGTATTGCCAGTAAGACTGACACGCCGACTGCACACAGGGCAGTGCATTTCCAACTACAGTACTTTGATGACTTCTTGAACTTAAAAGCACTTCTGGAAAGGGTGTTTCTAGGCAACGGGCGTGGCGGTGGAGAATAAACTGCACTGGAAGCCATGGTGTAACCAGGCGAGGCTGTACTGAACAGCGGCGTTGTTCCTGTTCCAGTCTTGAAGAGAAAGTGCCTGTAATGAAAGAAAACAAAATGTGCAGAAACGTCTCCAAGTGATTGCAGATCACATCAACACAACAGCAAACTTCACGTTCGAATATAAAGGACACAAACAGGGTTTCTCACAGTCAGCTTGAGCCATTAACATGCAGGAGTGCAGCAAGTGAGCATAGCTTAGCATTAACAAAGATAAGAGATAGGGTTGAAAACTACACATGCTAGCTAGGTGCACAGTTTAGACAATGATATTTGCAAACTCAGAATAAAAAGTGATGTACTGACTGAGGTAAAGGTGTCACCTGCCAGTGCATCTTGTATACATGTTCAATGGGAATAGGTACTCTGTACATTGTGCTTGCTCAGAAGGGATGGATGGAAAGAGAAATGTTCTATTACCCATGAGGTAATCCCTTTGAGATTCTTCCCTGGTATTAAGCCTCCATAACCTTTTATTTTCTTTCTATCCAATAGTTTTTACTTACCATTTAATTGTTTCTATTCTCTGAAGACTTAGTTACATTTTGTTTCCAAGTTAAAGCAGGATGCTAACAAGATTGGCAATGATTTGTTTTTTTTAAATTAATTTTCCAGCAGTAATGTTAACGGATTCATTTTATCACTTCTGCTCTCTGAATGTACAAAATCTTTGTGTCAAATCTGAGAAAAATCTATTACTGAACTTGGTTCAGGATGAAATTACTGAATTACACAAATGAATGAGGTGATTTATTGAATTATATAATAAATGCAAGATGAGATTTATTGGGGATCATTTGATTTATAACAAGATTGGGACAAATTTCCATCCATTTTCACCAATGGAAAAGTGTAATGTCCTGAATCGCTAGCCTTCTCAAGTCTACTTTTTCATTTGGATTGAATTAGTTTTTTTGCACTTTCCGTCGCACTCCCTTCCTTTTTCTAAACTGTCCTTATTCAGCAATAGCATTTTAAGGTGATGGTGCTGATAGAATCCAATCCATTTTCAAGAACATTAAATCCTGCACTGTACGCTAGGTAAAGTTGGTGTTGGTGAAGTAATACTATGGAAGAAGTGTACAGAGCAGTAAAACCGGGAGACGTGATAATCCTCCACCCCTTAATCTACATCCAGAAAATCACCAGGAGTGAACCTACCCAAAGACTACTCATCAGTGAAATACCAGAAGCTTGGAGGGATTGATTCATTGAGGTATTATTATTGTGTTTCCCAATAGTTTCATCTGCGGCTGTTGTGGTGTGTTGTGGTGCTGAACCACATAGATCAAGAAGATCTTCGGTTGATCCGTACTAAATTCTCTGATCTCAGTTGGGACAGTGGAGGCACTACAAATAGTCTCAGCATCTTTGGAATAGGAACAAAAAAAACACAGCAAGGTTTTCTGTTTCTAATGACTACCTAGTGAACTGTGCTGGGAATAGTTTAGAAGTGTGGACAGAAATGTGGGGCTTAGCTGCAGTTTCACTCCATACAGATTGGAAAGCTTGACGGCATTCATTGTCTGGCTCATACATGAGGAACAGCCACATGTCGGAAGCAGTGGGAAACAGCTGGCAACCATGGAGCCATAACCCAGTATAAGCCAAGATTCTGAGCGTGGGAGAGTTGGAGAGAGAACAAAGTTTTTATATTAAATATCAGGTCAGCATGGCAGAACTTCCAAAGCTTAAGGAAGTACTGTTGCCTGACATAGTGCCTTGAAAGACATTTTATCAGGTTTGTGAACAGCACAGTCAATGGGTACAGCAAACTTAATTGCATCAGTTTGCCAATGTGTCTACAACTGTGTCCAAAAGCTGTAACATGGACATAAAGTTAACCAGAGCAGGTTGGTCCTAACACTGAACCTTTGCTGAAGTCACTTTCTAGTGCAATGACTGTTCCTTGAAGTGTTCTATTTTCCCTCTTGGAATGCAGGTCGACTTCACTACTATAAATTCATTCTAAAATATACCTGTTTAACTTCTACTTCACATATGTGTCACAATGTCAAGAGAGATTGCAACAACTATACCTCAAGAGTAACCTGGGGGTACTTTCTCAATATGACATGTACTCAGAAAGTAAACTCAGAACAATACTTTCAAATGTGCTGAGTTAGCAAGACAAGGACACAGGTTTAGGGTTGCAAAGGGCAATTTCAGAAGAGACAGCATCCCTTTACCCTGAGGGTAATTAATAACTGGAACATGTTACCAGATAGGGTGGTTGAGGTTAGGATGTTGCTTTTTTTAAAAAAAAGCATGCTGCTGTAATAGGAGCAGAGTAGGGTGGGTATTCTGGAAGGTTGAGGTCAAATAGATCGAAGGGCTTTCTTCAACCGAAGCAATCTTGTGATCTTGTGAGATTGTGCAGTTTTTATTCACATTGCCAAGTTTCTGACACAATGGCTCAAATATATTTGAATTATATTTGTGCAATACAAATCTTTGAATGACCACCATGAAATATGATAAATATCTCAGCTCGTGACACAGACCATAACTCACCTTCTGCTTCATTCACTGTGAGCAAAACAGTTCAGTTTAACGTGAGGGATATTTATCATGTCTCATTTCTGGCTGTGTAAGATTCTCTGTACATTTAACTTTTCTTTAAAAAAGATGTTGCATTGAATTTTGTCCCAAATATCATTTGATGTATACATTCACAATGATTATGAATAATGAGACTATAGTGAACAGAAATTTTCAGCAGCACTCAAAGATAGCCATAAAAAGTTGTAGTTTTCAAGCTTATGGTGAGAGACAGAAAACACAACACAAAATCAGATTAGTTCAGTTGAGCCTTTCTTGTAATATAAAACATGAGGCTGGTATCGGAACCAAAAAAACATAACACAAAAATAACAAAAATTAGCAAAGTTACGCAATTCTCGAGTGCAATTTTTCTTCTCTTTTAGACACTGACGAAAACAAATGTTACATTCAGGACAAGGTATATAAATAGAAAATGATGCAAGCTGTGACACGAGCTATCAGCAAGGTAAAGATCTGATTTGCTTCAGGGTAAAATCAAGTTGCAATTTAACAAATTGTATTCATTTCTAAAGGACTTGCTTTGGTATATTCCAATTAAATTTCACTGCAAATTCCAATCAGTCTGCACCATTATAATGGTAATGTAGGCACTTTCAATGAATAAAACATTTTGTTCCCAAAATCACTTGTCTGCAGGACTAGATGGGATGGTTAGGTAAAAAATAAGATTCAGGTTAAGTTTACACTCTGGTCATTTTACTCCTTTTGCTGGTAAGTTAACCAGCTACTGGAGTGACCACATATCATTCGCCTTTCTCAATCAATTAACTAACTCTTGGTGGTGTGATCTTATAATAGGTTTTCCATTTGCCCAGCCCACCAAGTATTCTTAAATATTACTGACAAGTGAGGATAGATAGGCATCATCACCAAAGATTGGTACATTTACCTACATTGCCAAGAAAAATATGATTTATTTTCATGTATTGATGCTTTCACATATTAGTGTGGAAACAATAGGTGTTTGTACACAATTACAAACCATTGGGCTTTTGAAATTTGAACAATGGAGTTCAATGAAGCCTTGAATATGCCATGTGAGCTTTGTGCACCTTTTAAGTCTTGTGTTCATGCCTCACAGATAGTCCTCCGGTGGGCTGTGGTAAGAAATATGCAAGGGTGTTCATAGTATGTTATTCGTAATGGTGGTGATGGTGGGTGGGGGGATGGGGTGGGGGGTAATTCCAAGCAAAACCAAATATGTGTGTGGACACCAAATAGTCAATGGTCTACAGGGAAACAGATGACTTTGTTTTTTTTTATATATAATCATTTCACCAGGTTGAATGCACTATAATTTTCTATCTCTACTTTTTTGATGGTCATGACTTGCTAGGGTATAGTTCCCACAGGTGTTGGTTGTCCTATGATATTGCACTCAAATAACCAACTCAAATAATAATCAGTTTGGCTGGAGCTGACCTGATCTGCATAGCTATACTTCAATTGTCAGAGAATATACCAATTGTCAGAGACTTCCTTTGATAAATCTGGCAAAGGGCAGCATTCAGTTTGAGGGCTTATAGAGGTGAATTTGTATTCCAAGGTGCAGCATGCAGTTAGATCAGCAAACTGTGCCACTGGTCCACTTCCTCTTAAATATTGTTGATAAAAATTATTTTTTTCTGATTTTAATCCCTTTTTGCCTCATCCTCCCTATACTATCCACAAATCCTGTTGAGATGTTTGGAAAATGACCTATGCCGAGCCCTTTACCAATATGGCTTTTGGGTTGGCGACTTGGAAGTATGAAAAACAACAACAATAATAGTAAATTGCATTTATATTGCACCTTTCTCATCGGGAGGATGACCAAAGGTGCTGGATAGTCAAGGATTTGCACTTGAACTAGGAGTTGGAATCAAGAGAGATGGAGGGCAAGGGGCTGGGAGGATGACCAAAGGCATGGTCAAGTCAAAGAAGAAAGTCTTGAGATGGGCCTTGAAGGAGGCAAGGGAGGGGATGAGAAGTGGGACAGAAAGGCTGAAGGTCCGACTGCTGATAGTGGGGCAGGAAGGGTGGGAGAAATGGAGCAGGCCAGTACCCACCGAGCGGAGAGAGCAGGCAGGTTGGTAATAATAATAATAATCCTTGCCTTTGATATAGCGCTTTTCACGTCTTATAGACATCCCAAAGTGCTTCACAGATTATACTGTAAAGTGAATTGACTATATTTGTGGGCGAACACGGCAGCCAATTGTGCACAGCAGTGTCCCACAAACAGTCATGGATTGAAAATGACCAATTTATTATTGTTTTGTTTTTTTGGAGGGATTATTATTAGGCTCTGTGTGGAGTAAGGAAACTTGCCCAAGGTTTTGCCCTGCCGGGAATTGAACTCAGGTCTCTCACTTGCAAAGCGAGTGCTCTAACCACTGAGCTACAGGACTGCAAAGGTTAACCTTCAATCGTCTCTCTCTTTGCAGAGGTAGATGATACCTGCCTACACTTCTCTTATACCACAAAAGACTT